TTTAGTACCAGATAATCAACGCCTGGGAGAATCGACGGAGAGAGGCGGATGTAAGCATGAGATTTGGTTTGCGGATAGCGTGTGCTATCCTCGTTACGGTCGTTTCGTTACAATGGCAGGATCAGGGGTTCGCAAGTGGAAGGGAATTGGATGGAGCGGTTGGTGCTAACGAAGAATCCTATGCGATATTATCCGGAATACCGAGATTGAAATTGAAACGAGGGTCCCATGAGAGCAGCAAGGGAAGCGGGAATGCGGTTCAGGGTGGTATTGAGGCGTTTGGAGCACCTTCTCGGGTTTACGAAGCGGTTTTGAAAAAAACGAATGTGGCTCAGGAGGAAGCGAAGGCAGCCGTTTCGATTGGCCGAACTGAAGCAGCTGACTCAGAGAAGCGTGACGCGGAAAAAGGCGAAAATGCAGCTGATACGGCTGATACCGTTCTCGCTACAGCCGAAACAAACGGGGATACGGCTATTTTAGCTCGGCATACGGCCGTTCGAGCCTGGCTGAAGAAATGGAAAAGAAGATGGCTATTGCAAGATTCGATAGTAGATGACTCGATAATAGGCCGGGTTGGGACTATTGAGAAAGAAATTCAGGACAATCTAGCGGAGCAGGGGAATGTTACAGAGCTGATACAGCGGGTTTCGGCCATACGAAGCCAGCTGACTCAGATTCTGACGTCATCGTCGTCGTCAGCAGCTGATGCTCAGACCGCCGAGGGAGGAAAGGGCGAGGGAGTGCAAGCGGGTCAGGAAGAAATCACTATGGCGGGTGCAGTGACTTTTGAGTCGACTCAAAAGTCACCTGCAGTGAACACCACTAACCGACCCATCAGACTCGACTGGTGAGTTCAAATGAGTTGTTATTGTGGAGAACAAGGAGTATGACGAGAGAGGAGTGCAAGCGGGTCAGGAAGAAAGCACTGTGGCGGGTGCAGTGGGTGCAGTGGATGGAGTGGGTGCAGTGGGTGCTGCAGTGGGTGCTGCAGTGGGTGCTGCAGTGGGTGCTGCCACTAACCGACCCATCAGACTCGACTGGTGAGTGCAAAGAAGTTACAGTTCGGAGCCTTGGCGTCAATACGTGGGTCCAAAGAAGCAGCCGAGGTTAATTACACCCGCCCAAGTCTGGTTTTGGGAGTGGAGGGGCGCAAGTGGGTCAACAAGAGGCTCACACCCACACGACTCTTTTTCCCTCTGAACGTCCCTGTGCCTCCAGGGTGAAGCCAGTGACCCAGAAGGAGAAGGACGAGGAGGACAAGGCGAAGGTGGCAGCAGGCGTGTGTGACAAGACTCAGAACTATGGCAAGCTGTATGGGATGGGACCTATTGCGTGGGAGCCGCAGCCTGGCAAATACGTGTTGATGGATTGCTACAGGAACCAGGTGAGGGGTTGGGAGGAGTGGAGAGCAGTGTATGGTATGGCTGCAGGCGTGTGTGACAAGACTCAGAACTATGGCAAGCTGTATGGGATGGGACCTATTGCGTGGGAGCCGCAGCCTGGCAAATACGTGTTGATGGATTGCTACAGGAACCAGGTGAGGGGTTGGGAGGAGTGGAGAGCAGTGTATGGTATGGCTGCAGGCGTGTGTGACAAGACTCAGAACTATGGCAAGCTGTATGGGGCGGGGCCGATTTCGTGGCAGCCGCAGCCTGAGAAATACGTGTTGATGGACTGCTACAGGAACCAGGTTAGGGGGTTGGAAGGAGTGGAGAGTGGTGTGTGTGGTATGGGTTTCACACTCCACCAGATCCCATCCCTCTCCACCGCACTCCACCAGATCCCATCCCTCTCCACCGCACTCCACCAGATCCCATCCCTCTCCACTGCACTCCACCAGATGAGCAACCGAGTGCGGTGCATGAACAGGTTTCTGATAGCAGCGGCTACTTGAACCGAGACTCGGGCTCATAAAGTTACCCTCTCCCCAATCTACCCCACCGCTCCCGATCCTATTAGATGAGCAACAGAGTGCAGTGCATGAACAAATACTTGATCGCTTCCGGCTACTTGAACCGAGTCTCGGGCTCATCAAGTTACCCTCTCCCCTCTCCCCATTCCACTCCACCCCACTCCACCGCATTAGATGAGCAACCGAGTGCACTGCATGAACAAGTACCTCATAGCAGCAGGCTATCTGAATCGCACACACACCCATTCCCACCGCACTCCACCACACTCCACCCCTTCCCACCGCACTCCACCAGATGAGCAACCGGGTCCGGTGCATGAACAAATACCTCATAGCAGCAGGCTATCTGAATCGCACGCTGGTCGTGCCTCTGCATGCTGACAAGATCAGCCGCAATTACGACCGCCGCGCATATTTTGATCCCATCCCACCCCTCTCTCCACCCCTTTCCACGCCTTTCCACCGCACTCCACCAGATGAGCAACCGGGTCCGGTGCATGAACAAATACCTCATAGCAGCAGGCTATCTGAATCGCACGCTGGTCGTGCCTCTGCATGCCGACGAGATCAGCCGCAATTACGACCGCCGCGCTTACTTTGATATCGACCACACACGCCGCTGCTTCGGCCCCCGCACTGTGATTTCACGGGACGAGCTACTAGAGCTGGAGAGGGAGAGAAGGATGGGTGGTGGGGGCGGGGTAGGGGGAGGCGGAGGGGGAGGAGCTGGGAATGATACGGTGAATCTGGATCAGATTGTGTGTTTGTACGGCCGGTGCTATGATCAAGACCCCATAGGCATTCCAAAGAAAATGCCAAACTACACCAGCATCGGTTTTTCGCCGAACCTGACGTGGACGTCCGGGGGTTTCCTCTCGAGCCATTCAGTCAACATCACGGATTTCCAATTGGTCGACTCCAAGCTTCTGCCCTCGGCTCGGCTTATCACGTTCGACGACCTAGGTTCGGCAATTTTGGATGCTTCCATGCAGGCTAATGGATCACGTATGAACAATCTCGACCTTCCGTTTATTCGTTCCCCGGGCTGCCCGAACCCTCTGGCCATCCAACCGCATCCCGCTATTCTGGAAGCGGCAGATGCGTTTGTGCGGACGAAACTTTTGCAGGGGCTGCCCAGGGAATGGGAAGTGAAAAATAGCAGCAGCGGTGATAGTAGCAGCAGCAGCAGCAGCAGCGGCGGCGACGGCGAAGGGGGGAGTGGTAGATTAGCATTTGGACGGTACATGGCGGTTCACTGGAGACGGACGGACCTGATTAAGAGTTACTCGCATCTGACGGTCGAGCAGACAGGGAGCTGCGTGGCGAGGAAGATGATTCGTTCGGGCAACTTGACGACTCTGTTCCTGGCGACTGACACGAATGATGAGGAGGTGAGAGATATTGAGGGTAGAATCTCCTGTCCTGGTAGAGGGTACTTCTTGATTTGTGGGCCAGGAAGATCCTTCAGTTAGGCAACTTGACAACGCTGTTCCTGGCAATTGACACGAATGACGAGGAGGTGGGTGGGACGGACACGAATGAATAGGAGGTGAGAGAGATTGAGGGTAGAATCTCCTATCCTGGTAGAGGTTACGTCTTAATTTGTGGGCCAGGAAGATGATTCGGTCTGGCAACTTGACATGACAAATCGGTCACGTATGATAACTCTTCTCCTTGCGACTGACACGAATGAGGAGGAGGTGAGTTACATACTGCTTCCATTCAAGGCATATGGATGGCTACTTGGTACGAGTAACTTGATGCTTCAGAAGGATTTCCACCAGAATAGTCATTCATGCTTTTTTCTCCACATGGTATCAGTGTCACCTATAGCATTTTCCCATAACACATCTCCATGTGCTTTTCCCACAGGTGAAGCAGCTGGAGCAAGTTATCCGTGCCTCCATTCCAAACCTCAGGCTGGTTCGGCAGCCGGCGAGCCTGGCGGGCGAGGACTGGGCGGCAGTGCTTGCCCAGGCCCATTTCACCCACATGACCACAGTACAAGCTGTACTCGATAAGGCTATATGCGTTATGGCGGATGTGTTTTTGGGGACCGATGCGTCGTCCTTTAGTGCAGATATAAATAGGATCCGAGCAGGACTTAGATTTCAAGAATGTGACGATGCTCCAATTTGTCATGGGTTGCCGGTGGTGGGTGGGAGATAGGTACCGTATTTTCCCGTATATACCGTATTCTCCCGGACATAACACCCTATGGTATAGCTAAAAATACAGGGAAAAAATTGGGGGGGGGGGGGGGGGGGGGGGGTCTCCTCATAGGAAAAAAATACAGACCGTCATCGCCCGGATAGAAGACATACGGTATATGTCTTATCTTATACATTAGAAAAAAAGATTGTTGTGTCTTGTACTTGGGAGGATTTAGGGTGTCTTATAATTCTTATAAATGGACAAAAAACCGTGTAGAGGATACCCCCTAGTCATAAGATTGCCCCTAATCCCTATACTGGCTTAACTTGTTCACACCGACAGTTGTCTTATAATCAGGAACACCCATCTATAAGAAACACCCGTTTTAACGACACCCCATGTCTTCAATTCGACACTGTCTTATATCCGGGCGATGACGGTCATACCCGGGTCTTTACATATGACATATTTTAGTGTTAGTGTTTTTTTTATTAGTCAATGTGGGTGTTTTGCTGGTCGTTTTAGCATCACTGCCTGAGGCGCGAATGTGAGTTTCGGCCTCGAACTTCATCGCCCTCACGAAAATGCCATGTGGCACCTCTCTTGCCACTTGCAACGGAAGATTCACCTGCACGTGGCAACAGAGAAATAGTGGGAGGGGGCAAATCTCGGCAGATTGCCTTTGAATGTACCGCAAAATTTCATTGAGGGAGAAATTCACACGATATTCTTCCGTATTGCAGCTACTCGTTAACGACTAAAATAATGAATCCGTAAGAAAAGGGGGGTGTTATAGAAAATCAGCCAAAAATGGGGGTATAGTAGAAACGAGGTCTATCATAACACCCACCCCGCACAAGCTACCCGGGGGTGTACAATTATGGGGGGGTGTTTTGTCCGGGAGTATACGATAGGACCCGGGGGACTTTATAAAAATTCATTTAAAAAGGCTGGGGTGAACACTATGGAGGATGGAAATAGATAAGACCCCCATACATCTATTTTACTCATAGGCAACCGTTTTTCTGCAAAGTTAAAGCTGTCGCCTACATACCTCATGCGGGAGGACCTGGTTTATCACTTGAAAACCAGGTAGCACAAGGCTTCGCTCCATCCTTGTGTTTGAATCATTCGCGCTCTCATTTCTGGAAAGGGATCATTTCGTGTGCAAATCAGACTGCGTCTTAGGCTGTGCACCCGAAATACCCCCAGAAAATACCCTTGGGTATGTAGACCGCAGCATTAAACTTTTCCACCAAAATCGAGTGCCTCCAAAAAGCAAAGGCGAAAGTGCCTAGTCAACCCTTCGATCTGACGCGGTCAATGCGTCACATTTATATTGAACACTCTATATAGCTGAAAATTGAACACTCTATACCAAAGAGAGGGGTCTTATATTGTTTAATATCAAAAGGGGGTCCTCACAGATTGGTCCTTAATAAGCGTACCACCCCCCGCATATAAGACCCATGGGACTGTTATTCCATAGGGTCGTATATACGGGAAAATACGGATGCAAAAACGGTTGGATTGAGAAAGCTTGCTTTCTTTCTTATCAATTGGCATCGTTCTCATTACGGTCGAACTCCTCGAGCCAAAATTGGAGCTCTTCTGCTGCAGATGGGGGGATAACGACGCTGCTTTTCCATGACGGTGCGTCGTCGATCACTTGTAACATAGCATGGCTGAATGCGCGAGCTGTCGCGCCAAGTGCGACACCCATCGATGCGAGCATGCCAGTGATTCTGGCCACGTGGCGGACCGGGACTGGTCGGCATGCCTTGCTTGCGCTCAGGAGGTTCCGGATGGTTGCATGTAGTGAGGCTCGTCGGTCCGGACCGATGGAGAATCGGCCGGTATCGGTCTCGAGTTCTACGCCCAGGAATCGGAGACGCTGCGATGGTGACAGTTGTGATTTCTTCGCGTTTATCAGAAGGTCTGCCTCTTTAAGATCCAATATCACCCGCTGGCAAGTTGCTTGCGCGTCCTCTTTCGACTGGCAGAGAAATAAGATGTCGTCCACGTAAGGTACGACTCGGATGCCTTGTTCTCGCCAACGCCGAGCTAGTTGCTTGATGAGCTGCGTGAAAACGAATAGAGCTGTCGCGAGGCCAAATGGTAGTGAACGGAATGCGTATGTGCGCTTATCAAATTCAAAGCCAAGGAACTTCCAGCACGATGGGTGGATGTCGATGTGGTGGTAACCAGATTTGAGGTCAATGGAGAACATCCAGTCCCCAGCGCGCGCGAGGTCGGCGACGCGGCTGAGCCCTTCGTACTTGAACTTGGGGATGATCAAGTTGGCGTTGACTTTCCTCATATCAAGAATGAGCCTGCATTTGTCTTTTTGCTCGACCACGTTGAGTGGACTTATGCATGTAAGCTCCGTTGCGGCCATCGGAATTGCCGCTCCCGTCTCTATGAGTTCTTGGATGGCGGTACGTGTGAACGTGGCATGCGTGTTTGCCCCGACATGATTGCGATCGTGGAAGTGTTGCGGTGGGCCGTGGCTCCATGGCAACCAGTAACCCTTGGCGATGACGGAGAGGACAAGGCTGCTGGGGCACCATGAGCTCCACCACGCAAATGTCGCGCGAAGACGACCGCGCATGTGTGTAATAGTTCTGTCTGTAACGGCAAATTCGTACGGATCGTCGTGGCATGCCGCCTCGCACCGTCGTGCTCCTGTACATTTGAGGCCAAGTGGTATAAGCTTTGAGTATTCCACGTTAAAGCATGCGTGTGCATGTACTTGTACGGGCAACCATTGATCGAAGGTGTGAAGAGAATGAACAATTGAATGAAATGTCAACGAATGTGTCGGGAATGTTAACGCATGTCAACGCATGTCTCTTCTTCTCCTCGTTTCCCCCCCCTTTTTTTTTTTTTTTTTTTTTTCTTGCCCCGTCGTCCACCTGGTAGGACATGGTTGTGCCTGCCCTTAGTGCGTAGGGGCTGATGCCTAGGGCCATGGACACCGTTGTCCATTGTGCTTTCTCTCATTCTCTCTTATCTCTCTCTCTCTCTCTCTCTCTCTCTCTCTCTCTCTCTCTCTCTCTCTCTCCCTCTCTCTCTCTCTCTCTCTCTCTTTCTCTCTCTCTCTCTCTCTTTCTCTCTCTCTCTCTCTCTCTCTCTCTCTCTCTCTCTCTCTCTCTCTCTCTCTCTCTCTCTCTCTCTCTCTCTCTCTCTCTCTCTCTCTCTCTCTCTCTCTCGCTCTCTCTCTGCTCCTCCTCTTGATTTTCATAGTCTCTTTGCCAAAACCATAGGCCTTTAGGAAGGTAGTTTTTATTAAATCAACCAACATACATAGCAATGCTTTCCTAGCATGCCACCAAGTGGCCAACATATGCGACCGAGGGGTTGTTGTTCCCCTTCCCTATCCTAGGCCCAAGCCTATCCCACCCTTTACTAGGGCTGGCCTCTTGCCATCGCAAACCCCTAGGGTTGCCCACGGTTTTCGCACTCAAGAGTGCACCGTGCCTAGCGCCCAAGCGCCTAGTCTCATGGCCCGCTCCTACACCACCGGAGCGGGTCCCTGGCCTCCATGCCCGTTCCGAGGGCAGGCACTTGCCACGTGGCCCGGCTGGCCGCAGCGGAAGCATGAGCCCCGGAACCCACGGCAATTGGCCGTGGGCGGGGGGCCTCGCTTGGGTAAGAACGGCATCGGCCCGTTGTTTCCGCCGCGGTTGACACGAGCGTATCCGCTTGCCGCACGGTCCATCGCCGCCATGTCCGCGACCGCCTGCTTGAAGGGTCGAGAAGTCAGCAGGCTCTTCTGCTGGTACAGCTTAAAGCGCTTCGCCGTGCGAAAGTCGGAGGCGTCCTCCACTTGAAGCACCTCGAAACGCCCCGCGATGAGGTTGAGAGCGTGTGAGATGAGTTCGAGTCCGCCCGCCGGATCACCGCGCTGCGCCTTGTATTCGGCGTGCAGCAGGTACGCCCGCAGGTCCTCCAGTAGCTCCGCTTGCTCTCGCACGGAGTCGTTGACGAAGGTTGCCGCCGAGAAGGTAAGATTAGAAGAAGGGAGGGGGGGAAGGTTTTCCGTGCCAATAAAATTAACATTATTGACTGGAGCCTCACCGGCTTCATCTTCAGAGTCGTTGGTGTCGTTGTCGACCGCTGGAGCAGGGGGAGCGGCAGTCGCTGCGTCGTTGTCATGCCGCTTCGTCCGTGCTCCCCGTGTGCCTTTCTCCTTTTTTGCAGTTTCTTTTTTAGCCGACGCAGATGCGGCGGGTAGTGCAGTTTCCGCGGCTGTAACGCTGACGGGTTGCTGCTGTAGAAGGGACAGCAGCGCGTTGACCTGGTCCGGGGTCAACGCCTGCGTCAGCGCAGGGGCGGCGGTCGCGTCAGACGAGGAGACTGCAGTCCGCCTCCTCTGACGCTGACGCGACGGTCCAGCAGCGGGTGCTGGCGTGTGCTCGGCGTCAGTCGCGTGTGCCGCGCCAGTCCCCGTCGCCACTTGCGCCACAGGTGCCACTGGCGCCACAGGCGCCACTGGCGCCACAGGGACCGAAGGGTGCTGCTGAGTTTCGGCGTTTTTGTGGACCTCGAGCCCGCCCAGCAGCACGTCCACTGCAGTCGGGGCGGAAGGTCCGTCTTCTGCCCGACGCTTGTTACGGCGTTCGCCCGCAGAATCGCGGGCGTTACGGTCGGAGTCGGAAGCGGGGGTTGACGAGTTCCCGTTGTTAAGTGTCGGCGTAGGTGCCATCGTTGAGCGATTGAAGTTGAAAATGTCGCTGAGTAAAGTAGAGGGTGACTCGCCTCTAGGAAGCGATTTAATCCTAGCCAGCTTGGAGGGAAAAACTACTCGAGCGGAAAATGTTGAGTAGTGCCGTTTGAAAATTGAGAAACGTGGGTGGAGGGAAATGAGCTCCAACCCACGGTTTTTGTAGTTGGAGAAGGGCGTTTAGCGCGCTTCGACGATGCCAATTGTGCAGTACAAGCAGCTTCGCTTTCACAATACACAATTTTAAAAAACACTACATGAGTGTTTAAAAATTATAATATTTGTGCCTACACTGTCATCGTGACTCTTCTACAGCGGATACAAAAACGGTAGGATTTGTGCCAGGCTTAGGTCTCAGGAATGTGACGATGCGCTAACCTGTCATGGGTTGCCGGTGGTGGGAAATAGGTGATTGTGGGATAGGTGCTGTAATTCGGATAGGGGAATCATTGAGTGAGGTGAATCCTCTTCACCCCTCTTTTATCCATAATAGAGTTTTGACAGTGCAGTGTGCACCAGGCCCCAAAATGTCAGGGTAAAATACCCTGATTGCCCTGACTGGCGGCCGCTTTTTTTGGGGTTACCCTGACCCAGTCAGGCTCCCAGATTTCTTACCCTGACTCATAGAGAGTTAGAATTTTTGTACCCTTATGAAATCCGAGTTAGATTGTTTCCCCTGACTTTCATCAGTGTTTTAAACCTGTTACACTGATACCGAGTCTTTTGTAGCGAGGATACGGTGGATGTTGCGCAAAATGACGCTGGCGAGTAATGCACTACGCTTACTTCCCAACAAGATCGCCGAACTGGCGACCTTTCTACTCACAGCATCAACCCTCACCAAGTGAAACATTTGAACTTGCGGAATGTTTTGTTCGTTTAAAATATATCATTATTTATGGAATCAGAGGAAGTTTTTTTTGGGTTGCGAAGCAACCTATTACGATCGTTATGTACAATTTTTTTTTTCCAATCCTCAATATTTTAAAAAATAGAGGATGGAAAAAATAAAGTGAACGGTACCGTACTAGCTAAGTGACTGACTGCTATGTATCTGCCGCGTCAATTTACCATGTGCTGAACCACATTCCTTCTTATTTCGTAGTTTACTTTGACTGAACCTATATTACATGAGTCGCCCAAATGATGAACTGTGAACGCGTAACTGCTTATTCCGTGATGCATGTCTGATGATGTTATAAGTAGATGAAGTAAATGCAAATGCATAAGTATAATGCATATTCTACCGGTAATGAAATAAATGCACAGCATGATGGAAGTGCGTAACAGTTAATTGACGCAGACCCTATGCTACCGCATCCCCTGCCTAGCATGGGGGGGAGCTCAATAGCATAATTTCTGAATCATCCAACTGTTACATGAAACAACACAATCTATGTGATCTAAAAAACGGGTCAATTCCATCAAATCCAGTTCGAATGGACACACTCACTGAGTGCGCAAAGAACCTTCTCGGAAATGATAGTTTGATCCCAATTTTTAAACCCCACAGACATGTGTTATTAATGCAATAGAAACATGAATGAAAACGCATACGCACACAACACAACGCATACACATCATCATACACATTCACACATACACGCACACACGAAGCCAACTAACAAAGCATATTAACCGCAGATGAAATAGAAACCTAAATCACCAAGACATTATGTATCCTATACTGTAAGTCACAAGCAATATCAGTCTACTCCTCATATTGAGCTCGACTGCCTGAAAAGTAAGACAAAGCTGGGTTGAGGAAAGGAAGGCAAATGGGAAATAACAAGGCATAATGAAATTACGAGAAAAAGGAATAATGAAGAAACAAATGAAACAATACAAGGGCCAAGAAAAACGCCATGAGCATTGAAGGGTTAGAGCTGACAAATAACAAGGAGAAAATGTACTAAGGCATAAAACGAAAGTAAAGAACGAGAACAAAGGGAAAAACACATAACGGGACAGTAAACGAACGAAAAGAATATAACAAATACGTTGAGCGAGAACAACGGAGACCGAGAGCGAGAGCGAGCGAGAGAGAGAGAGAGAGAGAGAGAGAGAGAGAGAGAGAGAGAGAGAGAGAGAGAGAGAGAGAGAGAGAGAGAGAGAGAGAGAGAGGACGAGAGAGAGAGGACAAGAGAGCGAGAACGAGAGAGTGGACGAACGAGAGAGAACGAACGAGAGATTTGACAAAAGAGAACGAGAGAACGACAGAGGCGGAACGAGAGAGAGAGAGAGAGAGAGAGAGAGAGAGAGAGAGAGAGAGAGAGAGAGAGAGAGAGAGAGAGAGAGAGAGAGAGAGAGAGAATGAGAGAGAACGAGAGAGAGGGAAAGAGAGAGAGAGAGAGAGAGAGAGAGAGAGAGAGAGAGAGAGAGAGAGAGAGAGAGAGAGAGAGAGAGAGAGAGAGAGACAACGAGAGAGAGATCGAGAGAGAGAGGACGAGAGAGGGAGAACGATAGAGTGTGAGAGATCGAGAGAGAAAGAAAACGAGAGAGAACGAGAGAGAACGAGAGAGAGAGAACGATAGAGAGAAAACGAGAAACGAGAGGGAGAGAACGAGAGAGGGAACGAGCGAGAGAGAACGAGGGTGAACGATCGAGAGCGAGAGCGAGAGTACGAGAGTGAAATAACGAGAGAGAGAGAGAGAGAGAGAGAGAGAGAGAGAGAGAGAGAGAGAGAGAGAGAGAGAGAGAGAGAGAGAGAGAGAGAGAGAGAGAGAGAGAGAGAGAGAGAGAGAAGAGAGAGAGAACGAGAAAACGAGGGAGAACGAGAGAACGAGAGAAAGAGAGAACAAGAGGAGAGAGAGAGAACGCGAGAGAGAGAGAGAGAAAACGGGAGAGAAAGAACGAGGGAGAACGAACGAGAGAACGAGAAAGAACTAGACAACGAGAGAACGAGAAAGAGAACGAGAAAGAGAACGAGAAAGAGAATGCTCCAACCTAATAATTTAACTCTCTGAACATAATTGCTAATAATCTTGTCAAATTTCAATTAAGGAAGAGGAATAAATCAAGAAACAGCGTACGGAAGAAGACAAAAGTAAGAGCAAGAGCTGAAAAGAGCAAGCAAGTAGAATGTAAATCGAAATAAAGGAGAGAACAAAAGTACGGTGCATAACCTAGGAAGAAAGGGAGGTTAAGAAACAAAATACGTCTACATCTCGTTTAAAAAAAAACAACTCTCAACCAAATGAGCTACACTAGAACCCACTCTCAACTAGAATGAACTTAAGAATAGAGAGAATGAGGCTTACCTTAACTAGGAGTTATAGTCTGAGTGGTGTGAGTGGCGTGAGTGGCGTGAGGGACGGGGAGAAGCTAGAATAGTCTGACTAGGTGGAAGAGAAACGGAGGAAAAAGACATGTGACGAAACCCTAGAATGGGAAGTTCTTATTGCATTACAGGACCATATTAAGTTTTGCCACTTCAAACATGGGTTGTATAGCATAGTTTGTCGACGTCGTCGTTATCGCGAAGGTCGGGAGTTCGAATCTGATCTTACCGTTTAAGTAATGCTTTTCCTTTCTGTAGTTTTATTTGTTTCAGATTTTCAGTCACCCTAAAACCAAATCATATGAACACAACAAGAATAACTTACCCTAAACAACCACACCCATCTGTTATGTACACCCTTTCATTTGAATACTACCATATCACATGAAACATGTATCTATGAATAGCAATGATTCAGCAAATATCAAAGTCATGTTACGATATTATATAATTCTCACTATAGATCAGATGTATCTAAAAATAACAGTGTAATGTTGCTTCGCAACCCTAAGACGATTTCGTCGCCTCTTGTTTACCCTGTTTTCATCAGGGTGCGAGATTTTTTACCCTAGGAGTCAGGGCTGGCCCACCCTGGAACTCTGATTTGACAGGGTGGGCCAAAACCAATTTTGGGCCCTGGTGTGCACTGCCTTGGCTGCTTTGGCACCCTATACACATTCACGAATCACAACACTACAAAAAGTTGACGAAGTGGTTCCACTGAATTAGGTTAACATAGACACCAAAAAGCAGCAAATGTGTTCCCTCAGACAAGATAAGGGGAATCGAGCACTGCGAAGCCAGACGCCACCCCTCCCTCGTTTGAAGTTGCTGTTTTTGTGCGCAATAGGTGGCCTGCTGCTGCATTGATAACCACCTTGTCTCCATTTCTGAAAGGAAGGGGAAGGAGACGCGTAGGACGAAGGGAAGAGCGAGCGTTGGTGGTACGTGCCATACATGCCCAGCTCTAACAGGGTGTCGTTCCAGCTGTGCTGGCAGGCACCGCCGTATGAGCACGGAGCGGTGCACGGGGGGGGGGGGAAAGGGAGCGGAGTAGTGTTGCCCACTAGTTCACAAGCACATATACCCACCCCAGGTACGTGCCATACACTCCTAGTTCAGAGAGTGTGTCGTTCCAGCTGTGCTGACAGCGCCGAATCAGCACGGAGTGGTGCACGGGGGGGAAGAGGCGCTGCATGAGAATGAACGCCGCTAGCTCCCCTGTTGCTGCACTGCTGACTTATGCCCACACGTACCTCAAGTATGTCCCATACACGCCCAGTTCAGATCGAGTATCGTTTCAGCTGTGCTGGCACCTCCGAATCAACACGGAGCGGTGCACGGGGGGGAAGAGGCGTTGCATGAGAATGAACGCTGCTGCGTCCCCTGCTTCTGCACTGCTGACCCATGCCCACACTCACCTCAGGTACGTGCCATACACGCCCAGCTCGGAAAGAGTATCGTTCCAGCTGTGCTGACACCTTCGGATGAGCACAGAGCGGTGCACGGGGGGGAAGAGCCGCTGCATGAGAATGAACGCCGCTAGCTGCTGCCTCCCCTGCTTCACCCATACCCCCATGCACACATGCATACCTCAAATATGTGCCGTACACTCCTAGCTCTGAGAGTGTGTCGTTCCAGCTGTGCTGACAGCGGCGAATCAGCACGGAGCGGTGCACGAGAGGGAGGAAGGGTGATTTTTGCTGCTCACTTGTTCACAAGCACACATACACACCTCAGGTACGTGCCATACGCGCCCAGTTCAGAGAGTGTATCGTTCCAGCTGTGCTGGCAGCGGCGAATTAGCACGGAGCGGTGCACGGGGGGGAAGAGCCTCTGCATGAGAATGAACGCTGCTAGCTCCTGCCTCCCCGCCTCCCCTGCCTCTGTCAGCTCCGTGAGCTTCCTGGTAATTTCCTCATCGTAGATGTTGTTGCCTGCAGGGAGGGGTGGATTGGGTTGCATAGCGGTTAGAAGGTTTATCGGTCAAAGGAGCTCTAGTGATTAATAAAAAACCAGACGGGGATTAGATGAAAAGACTTCTGTTAACATAAACTGTTTCTGTTCATATTCACAGTTCAGAGACGGTTACTGACTTCTTTTGAGGCGCCTCAAAAGACGGGGATTAGATGAAAAGACTTCTGTTATACGAATTTCGTTATCATAAGCTGTTTCTGTTCATATTCACAGTTCAGAGACGGTTACTGCTCAGCACAAATCGTGATGCTTGCGCAATCGCCTTCCAAGACATCTAAATCTCCTTGTAAGGCTCAATAGCCCTATCGCTATCGTCTCTGAACGCCCAATAGCTCACCCGCTCCCTCTCTTTGCGGCTTCAGCACATACTCTGAAGGCTCCCCAGTCGCCTTTTGAGACATCTCACAGAATCCTTCCAATACACCAAGTCTCTGAACGCCCAATAGCTCACCTCCTCCCTCTCTTTGCGGCTTCAGCACAAACTCGGATGGCTCCCGAATCGCTTTCGAAATGATTTCATTCCGTGCTGCCCCACCATCAGCTGGTCCTTCCCCTGCCCCCCTTTCCTCCTCCAAACTCCACAGCCCAGCAAAGCATTGCCGCATGGCTTGCAGAGACGCCTCGTCTGATACGAACCTGCTTGAGGTGGGGGAGAAGGGGAGGGAAAGAGAGATGAGAGTTGGCTGTTCCAAACTCTCACCTCACCTCAGCTTACCATACCCCACCTCACCTCACCTCCCAAGCTTGTGAGGCGCCTCAACAGCTGCCTTTAATCATATCTATCTGAACTGATCCCTCACCTCTCCAGCCCCCCATGCTGACCCAGCTTCTGCTAAAAGGTGGTACGTACGATGGTGAGGCAACTGACTGACAGTTGCCCCTAACTGTCCTGTCCACCCCCCCACCCCCATTTCAATGCCCACCTTCTTCCCTCCTCTCCCTTATGATCTCCTCTGCTCTCACCTCTGCACCACGCCTGGCTGACCCAGCTCTCTCCCTTCATAATCGAAGGGCCTTCTTGACTCATAATCGAAGGGCAGCAGTGCGCGAAGATGATACTTTAGCAACAGGATCAAGAGTGTAAAGCTAGAGTGAACAAAAGTAGATCTAGAAAACCCTTCGTCTCCAATAGCAAGTCCCTCTGCTCTCACCTCTCCAACACGCCAGGCTGTGCCAGCTGCGACTGCACCTTCTTCGCTCCTGCCAGGTGGTACGCTATGGTGGAACACTTGACTGCTCACTTACTCTCTCACACCCTGTCTTTCTTTTGAGTCGACTCAAAAGCTTGACTGCTCACTTACTCTCTCACACCCTGTCTTTCCTGCCTGCCCACAAGCTCCCCTATAGCCTCCCCTCTGCCCCCGTTGTGCCCTCACCTCTCCAGCACACCCGGCTGTGCCAGCTGCTGCTGCACCTTCTTCGCTCCTGCCAGGTGGTACGCGATGGTGGGACACTTGACTGCTGCTGATCGCTCAAGTAACAAGCGGGCCTCCCACTCCTGATGCAGGCAGTCAGAGAGAGGGGTGGGCAGTGTGGCAGGCAAAAGCGGGTTCGGTAACAGAGCAGAGGATACAGAGCTGATTTTGAGCAGAATTCGGGTAGAGAATGCCTCAGGCTGACAATGGATTTTCAATGAAGAATGAGGCAAGCCAAACGCCAGGGAAACAAACAAACAAGAAACATACTGACTGCAGAAGAGCACACAAACTTACAAGATCAGTTGGGTAGTCACCGGGGCCGTAGCCTGCACGGTAATATACCACTGATATGTGATGGCCGTCGCTGGAGTGTGGGATAAGGGGAGAACAGGGAGGAGGAAGGGCATGATATAGAAGCAGTAAAACGAGGTGACTTTTGAGTCGACTCTTGAGTCGACTCAAAATGTGTTGTGTGCCATGGTAACGAGGTGACTTTTGAGTCGACTCAACAGAGAACAGGGAGGAGGAAGGGCATGATATAGAAGCAGTACAACTCAGCACGTGCACACACTCTCACTTTTATTCGGATATGTGCACACACAAGCACACTCGCATGCACACACGCTCGCACGCACACACCCACATGCACACACTCTCTCAGCTTTATGATTGGTACTGATAGTAAGGCTAAGCGTGAGACGTCTCAAAGCACTCCTTCTTTCACGAGGCTAAGCGTACATGCTGGCTTCGCCTTGCACACACTCTCTCATTTATGCAGACGTGTACACACATGCACACACACTCGCATGCACACACGCTCGCATGCACACACGCTCGCATGCACACACGCTCGCATGCACACACGCTCGCATGCCCACAAGCACTCAAACTGTTGACTTCTGAGTCGACTCAAAAGTGAACTCATTAATGCAGACATGTACACACATGCACGCACACACATGCAGAAAGCGGGAAAACAAAGCATGTGCAATCACTTGCTTCATCAGGCAGTGCTGATCGTACATGCTGGCTTCAACTTGTGCACACTCACACGTTTATGCAGACATGAACACACATGCACACTTGATGCACACACTCAGCACTGATAGTGCTGGTCGTACATGCTGGCTTCGACTTGTGCACACTCACACGTTTATGCAGATATATGTACACGCATGCACACCCGCTCGCATGCCCGCAAGCACTCACATTGCTGAATGTTGAGTCAATTCAAAGGTCAGCTCCTTTATGCAGACATGTACACACATGCGCACCTTCAGCACTGAAAGTGCTGGTCGTGTATGCTGGCTTCATCTTGCACACCCTCTCACACTCACACTCACACTCGCACTCACACTGACAACACAACACACACACAAACGCGCACTCGCACACACATACACAGACACATACAAATACACACTCACACTGTCAAGTCGCCACTATCTGTTATTGCCCCCTGCTGCTGCACCTCCTTCAGGCTCTTCCTGAGCACTCTAATCCCGTGCCTCTGCCACACGAGCTGCGACAAGCAGTGCTGGTCATACATGTTCCGCTCTGGCTTCTGCACCACCATCAAAATGAGAGAGCTGCTCTGGGGGTGTGTGGTGGCAGTTAGAGGGCAAGTGGGAGGGCAGGGGAAGGGAAGGTGAAGAATGGCAGACCGCACCACGCCACATGAGCTGTGCCAAGCAGTGCTGGTCGTACATGTTGCGCTCTGGCTTTTGCACGACCATCAAAATGAGAGAGCTGCTCTTGTGGAAGTTGGGGAGAGATGGAGGCAGAGGGATGGGCAAGGTAGGGTTGCAGCTGTTAGGATAAACAGCAGAATAGCGCTGGTCGAGACAGGCAGTGCCATCACAGCACAGGCCAAGACAGGCAGTGCTGGTCGTACATGTTGCGCTGTGGCTTCTGCACCACCATCAGGATGAGAGAGCTGCTCTGGAGGGATCTAAAGAGAGGGATGGGAGCAGAGGGATGGACAGGGCAGAGTTGTAGCTGTTAGGATAAACAGCAAGAAAGCACAGGCCGAGACAAAGCACTGCTGGTCGTACATGTTGCGCTCTGGCTTTTGCACCACCATCAGGATGAGAGAGCTGCTTTGGGGGAGTGCAGTGGGGAAAGGTGGGGAGAGATAGGGGGCGGTGGTGGGGGAGAAGCAGTGCTGGTCATACATATTGCGCTCCGGCTTTTGCACCACCACCATCAGGATGAGAGAGCTGCTCTGGTTTGGGGTGAGTTGGTACGGAGAGGGCAAGTAGAAAGGTAAGGGGGATGGTGAAGAGAGGGATGGGTGGGGGCTCACACGTGCTGTGCTAATCAGTCAGTGCTGGTCGTACTATTGTTGAGTCGACTCAAAAAGAGGGATGGGTGGGTGGGGGTCCACACGTGCTGTACCAATCAGTGCTGGTCATACGTGCTGCATTCTGGCTTTTGAGTCGACTCAAAAATCGACTCATCACACGCGGGTTGGTAGGGAGAGGGCAAATAGAAATGGAAGGGGGATGGTGAAGAGAGGGATGGGTGGGTGGGGGTCCACACGTGCTGTGCCGGTCAGTCAGTGCTGGTCGTACTATTGTTGAGTCGACTCAAAAAGAGGGATGGGTGGGTGGGGGTCCACACGTGCTGTGCCAATCAGTCAGTGCTGGTCGTACTATTGTTGAGTCGACTCAAAAAGAGGGATGGGTGGGTGGGGGTCCACACGTGCTGTGCCGGTCAGTCAGTGCTGGTCGTACTATTGTTGAGTCGACTCAAAAAGAGGGATGGGTGGGTGGGGGTCCACACGTGCTGTGCCAATCAGTCAGTGCTGGTCGTACTATTGTTGAGTCGACTCAAAAAGAGGGATGGGTGGGTGGGGGTCCACACGTGCTGTGCCAATCAGTCAGTGCTGGTCGTACTATTGTTGAGTCGACTCAAAAAGAGGGATGGGTGGGTGGGGGTCCACACGTGCTGTGCCAATCAGTCAGTGCTGGTCGTACTATTGTTGAGTCGACTCAAAAAGAGGGATGGGTGGGTGGGGGTCCACACGTGCTGTGCCAATCAGTCAGTGCTGGTCGTACTATTGTTGAGTCGACTCAAAAAGAGGGATGGGTGGGTGGGGGTCCACACGTGCTGTGCCAATCAGTCAGTGCTGGTCGTACTATTGTTGAGTCGACTCAAAAAGAGGGATGGGTGGGTGGGGGTCCACACGTGCTGTGCCAATCAGTCAGTGCTGGTCGTACTATTGTTGAGTCGACTCAAAAAGAGGGATGGGTGGGTGGGGGTCCACACGTGCTGTGCCAATCAGTCAGTGCTGTCGTACTTTTGTTGAGTCGACTCAAAAAGAGGGATGGGTGGGTGGGGGTCCACACGTGCTGTACCAATCAGTGCTGGTCATACGTGCTGCATTCTGGCTTTTGAGTCGACTCAAAAATCGACTCATCACACGCGGGTTGGTAGGGAGAGGGCAAATAGAAACGGAAGGGGGATGGTGAAGAGAGGGATGGGTGGGTGGGGGTCCACACGTGCTGTGCCGGTCAGTCAGTGCTGGTCGTACTATTGTTGAGTCGACTCAAAAAGAGGGATGGGTGGGTGGGGGTCCACACGTGCTGTGCCAATCAGTCAGTGCTGGTCGTACTATTGTTGAGTCGACTCAAAAAGAGGGATGGGTGGGTGGGGGTCCACACGTGCTGTGCCGGTCAGTCAGTGCTGGTCGTACTATTGTTGAGTCGACTCAAAAAGAGGGATGGGTGGGTGGGGGTCCACACGTGCTGTGCCAATCAGTCAGTGCTGGTCGTACTATTGTTGAGTCGACTCAAAAAGAGGGATGGGTGGGTGGGGGTCCACACGTGCTGTGCCAATCAGTCAGTGCTGGTCGTACTATTGTTGAGTCGACTCAAAAAGAGGGATGGGTGGGTGGGGGTCCACACGTGCTGTGCCAATCAGTCAGTGCTGGTCGTACTATTGTTGAGTCGACTCAAAAAGAGGGATGGGTGGGTGGGGGTCCACACGTGCTGTGCCAATCAGTCAGTGCTGGTCGTACTATTGTTGAGTCGACTCAAAAAGAGGGATGGGTGGGTGGGGGTCCACACGTGCTGTGCCAATCAGTCAGTGCTGGTCGTACTATTGTTGAGTCGACTCAAAAAGAGGGATGGGTGGGTGGGGGTCCACACGTGCTGTGCCAATCAGTCAGTGCTGGTCGTACTATTGTTGAGTCGACTCAAAAAGAGGGATGGGTGGGTGGGGGTCCACACGTGCTGTGCCAATCAGTCAGTGCTGGTCGTACTATTGTTGAGTCGACTCAAAAAGAGGGATGGGTGGGTGGGGGTCCACACGTGCTGTGCCAATCAGTCAGTGCTGGTCGTACTATTGTTGAGTCGACTCAAAAAGAGGGATGGGTGGGTGGGGGTCCACACGTGCTGTGCCAATCAGTCAGTGCTGGTCGTACTATTGTTGAGTCGACTCAAAAAGAGGGATGGGTGGGTGGGGGTCCACACGTGCTGTGCCAATCAGTCAGTGCTGGTCGTACTATTGTTGAGTCGACTCAAAAAGAGGGATGGGTGGGTGGGGGTCCACACGTGCTGTGCCAATCAGTCAGTGCTGGTCGTACTATTGTTGAGTCGACTCAAAAAGAGGGATGGGTGGGTGGGGGTCCACACGTGCTGTGCCAATCAGTCAGTGCTGGTCGTACTATTGTTGAGTCGACTCAAAAAGAGGGATGGGTGGGTGGGGGTCCACACGTGCTGTGCCAATCAGTCAGTGCTGGTCGTACTATTGTTGAGTCGACTCAAAAAGAGGGATGGGTGGGTGGGGGTCCACACGTGCTGTGCCAATCAGTCAGTGCTGGTCGTACTATTGTTGAGTCGACTCAAAAAGAGGGATGGGTGGGTGGGGGTCCACACGTGCTGTGCCAATCAGTCAGTGCTGGTCGTACTATTGTTGAGTCGACTCAAAAAGAGGGATGGGTGGGTGGGGGTCCACACGTGCTGTGCCAATCAGTCAGTGCTGGTCGTACTATTGTTGAGTCGACTCAAAAAGAGGGATGGGTGGGTGGGGGTCCACACGTGCTGTGCCAATCAGTCAGTGCTGGTCGTACTATTGTTGAGTCGACTCAAAAAGAGGGATGGGTGGGTGGGGGTCCACACGTGCTGTGCCAATCAGTCAGTGCTGGTCGTACTATTGTTGAGTCGACTCAAAAAGAGGGATGGGTGGGTGGGGGTCCACACGTGCTGTGCCAATCAGTCAGTGCTGTCGTACTTTTGTTGAGTCGACTCAAAAAGAGGGATGGGTGGGTGGGGGTCCACACGTGCTGTACCAATCAGTGCTGGTCATACGTGCTGCATTCTGGCTTTTGAGTCGACTCAAAAATCGACTCATCACACGCGGGTTGGTAGGGAGAGGGCAAATAGAAACGGAAGGGGGATGGTGAAGAGAGGGATGGGTGGGTGGGGGTCCACACGTGCTGTGCCGGTCAGTCAGTGCTGGTCGTACTATTGTTGAGTCGACTCAAAAAGAGGGATGGGTGGGTGGGGGTCCACACGTGCTGTGCCAATCAGTCAGTGCTGGTCGTACTATTGTTGAGTCGACTCAAAAAGAGGGATGGGTGGGTGGGGGTCCACACGTGCTGTGCCGGTCAGTCAGTGCTGGTCGTACTATTGTTGAGTCGACTCAAAAAGAGGGATGGGTGGGTGGGGGTCCACACGTGCTGTGCCAATCAGTCAGTGCTGGTCGTACTATTGTTGAGTCGACTCAAAAAGAGGGATGGGTGGGTGGGGGTCCACACGTGCTGTGCCAATCAGTCAGTGCTGGTCGTACTATTGTTGAGTCGACTCAAAAAGAGGGATGGGTGGGTGGGGGTCCACACGTGCTGTGCCAATCAGTCAGTGCTGGTCGTACTATTGTTGAGTCGACTCAAAAAGAGGGATGGGTGGGTGGGGGTCCACACGTGCTGTGCCAATCAGTCAGTGCTGGTCGTACTATTGTTGAGTCGACTCAAAAAGAGGGATGGGTGGGTGGGGGTCCACACGTGCTGTGCCAATCAGTCAGTGCTGGTCGTACTATTGTTGAGTCGACTCAAAAAGAGGGATGGGTGGGTGGGGGTCCACACGTGCTGTGCCAATCAGTCAGTGCTGGTCGTACTATTGTTGAGTCGACTCAAAAAGAGGGATGGGTGGGTGGGGGTCCACACGTGCTGTGCCAATCAGTCAGTGCTGGTCGTACTATTGTTGAGTCGACTCAAAAAGAGGGATGGGTGGGTGGGGGTCCACACGTGCTGTGCCAATCAGTCAGTGCTGGTCGTACTATTGTTGAGTCGACTCAAAAAGAGGGATGGGTGGGTGGGGGTCCACACGTGCTGTGCCAATCAGTCAGTGCTGGTCGTACTATTGTTGAGTCGACTCAAAAAGAGGGATGGGTGGGTGGGGGTCCACACGTGCTGTGCCAATCAGTCAGTGCTGGTCGTACTATTGTTGAGTCGACTCAAAAAGAGGGATGGGTGGGTGGGGGTCCACACGTGCTGTGCCAATCAGTCAGTGCTGGTCGTACTATTGTTGAGTCGACTCAAAAAGAGGGATGGGTGGGTGGGGGTCCACACGTGCTGTGCCAATCAGTCAGTGCTGGTCGTACTATTGTTGAGTCGACTCAAAAAGAGGGATGGGTGGGTGGGGGTCCACACGTGCTGTGCCAATCAGTCAGTGCTGGTCGTACTATTGTTGAGTCGACTCAAAAAGAGGGATGGGTGGGTGGGGGTCCACACGTGCTGTGCCAATCAGTCAGTGCTGGTCGTACTATTGTTGAGTCGACTCAAAAAGAGGGATGGGTGGGTGGGGGTCCACACGTGCTGTGCCAATCAGTCAGTGCTGGTCGTACTATTGTTGAGTCGACTCAAAAAGAGGGATGGGTGGGTGGGGGTCCACACGTGCTGTGCCAATCAGTCAGTGCTGGTCGTACTATTGTTGAGTCGACTCAAAAAGAGGGATGGGTGGGTGGGGGTCCACACGTGCTGTGCCAATCAGTCAGTGCTGGTCGTACTATTGTTGAGTCGACTCAAAAAGAGGGATGGGTGGGTGGGGGTCCACACGTGCTGTGCCAATCAGTCAGTGCTGGTCGTACTATTGTTGAGTCGACTCAAAAAGAGGGATGGGTGGGTGGGGGTCCACACGTGCTGTGCCAATCAGTCAGTGCTGGTCGTACTATTGTTGAGTCGACTCAAAAAGAGGGATGGGTGGGTGGGGGTCCACACGTGCTGTGCCAATCAGTCAGTGCTGTCGTACTTTTGTTGAGTCGACTCAAAAAGAGGGATGGGTGGGTGGGGGTCCACACGTGCTGTACCAATCAGTGCTGGTCATACGTGCTGCATTCTGGCTTTTGAGTCGACTCAAAAATCGACTCATCACACGCGGGTTGGTAGGGAGAGGGCAAATAGAAACGGAAGGGGGATGGTGAAGAGAGGGATGGGTGGGTGGGGGTCCACACGTGCTGTGCCGGTCAGTCAGTGCTGGTCGTACTATTGTTGAGTCGACTCAAAAAGAGGGATGGGTGGGTGGGGGTCCACTCGTGCTGTGCCAATCAGTCAGTGCTGGTCGTACTATTGTTGAGTCGACTCAAAAAGAGGGATGGGTGGGTGGGGGTCCACACGTGCTGTGCCGGTCAGTCAGTGCTGGCCGTATGTGCTGCATTCTGGCTTTTGCAATGGCTTAAGCTCACAACACCCAGACCTACCACACAGCACCCAGCCCTACCACACAGCACCCATCCCTACCACACAGCACCCAGCCCTACCACACAGCACCCAGCCCTACCACATAGCACCCAGCACTACCATATGACAGCATGATCCACCTACCTCTCATCCCCGTATTCCCTCCACGCCGCTGCCAGCGCATCTGCCATGTCTGTTGCTGCAGAGTTAACAGGCACACATGACGCCCATCCCTACCACACACTACACGGCCCTACCGCACCACATCGAGGTCGTTTTTGAGGCGCCTCAAAAACGACCTCAATGCACGACACCCATCCCTACCACCACACACTACACAGCCCTACCGCACCACATCGTGAGTGACCCACCTACCTCTCATCCCCGTATTCCCTCCACGCTGCTGCCAGCGCATCTGCCATGTCCGTTGCTGCACACACAGCACCCAGCTCTACCGCACAGCACCCAGCCTACTGCACAGCAACGTGACCCACCTACCTCTCATCCCCGTATTCCCTCCACGCTGCTGCCAGCGCATCAGCCATGTCCACTGCTGCCGTGTTGAGAGGCACAGAGTCCACCGACAGACCTGCCTTCTCCCCATACATCCCCACCATGTGCCTGGGAGGATGGGTGAGATGCGGGGCAGAAAGAGGAGGGAGGAACAAGGGGGGGGTCTGAATATTCTCATGTTCATTGCTGCCGTGTTGAGAGGCACAGAGTCCACCGACAGACCTGCCTTCTCCCCATACATCCCCACCATGTGCCTGGGAGGATGGGTGACAGGACAAGTGAAAGCAGAGACAGAAAACAAGAGGGGAATAAGGAAGAGGTGGTGGTGGTATTATCATGCCTGCTGATGCTTCGTTGAGAGGCATAGCATAGCATCCACTGACAGACAAGGTGGCGGTGGTATTCTCATGCCTTTCCAACATACATTCCCACCATGTGCCTGGCAGGAAGGGTGGGGATGAGAGGGGATAGGGAGTACAGTACATCATGCCATCCGTTGCTGAACAAGTGTGGGGAATTGAGAGGAGTTGAGAGCAGTTGACAGGAATTGACAGGAGTTCACAGGAGTTGACAGGAGTTGACGGGTAAACGATCCACATCAGTTTTCCTAGCTCTAGCACTCTCCTGCAATCCTCCTCTCTCGCCCCAAAAGGCTCTTACCCACCTGTGCAGGTCGGTGAGTCAGGACGTCAGCCCAGCACAGGGACGAAGGAGGAGGAAATGGTGTTGAGTCCCACTCAGCTCCACTCCACCTGCAGCAACCCTCCTGTGACAGTGTCGAGCAGCACCAGCCCTGCTCCGTATTACATTATCCCAACCTCCTGTGCTTCGCCCGGCTTCCCTTCCCCCCCACTCACCTGTGCAAGCCTGTGACTCAGGAGGTGAGCCCAGGGAAGGAGGAAGAAATGGTGTTGAGTCCCACTCAGCTCAGCTCCACTCCACCTGCAGCACCCCTCCTGTGACAGTGTCGAGCAGCACCAGCCCTGCTCCGTATTACATTATCCCAACCTCCTGTGCTTCGCCCGGCTTCCCTTCCCCCCCAATCACCTGTGCAAGCCTGTGACTCAGGAGGTGAGCCCAGGGAAGGAGGAAGAAATGGTGTTGAGTCCCACTCAGCTCAGCTCCACTCCACCTGCAGCACGCCCCGCTGCCCCACTTATACTAGAACCAAACCAGCCCCAGGATTTTTGAGAATTCTCAAAAAACATACACGCCCCGCTGCAACACTTATACTAGAACCAAACCAGCCCCAGGTTTTTTTAGAATTCTAAAAAAACATACACGCCCCTCTGCCCCATGTATACCAGAACCAAACCAGCCCCAGGTTGAACCCACCTATCCAGGCCAGGTCGGTGACCCTTAAGGTGACCCCAGGGAAGGAGGAGGAGATGGTGTTGACCTCCACCTGCAGCACGGCCTCACAGCAGAGTCATCTCCAATACCAGGCAGCCAGTAACCCCCCCTGCTCACCTGTGCAAGTCAGTAACCCTTGCAGTGAGGCCAGGGAAGGACGAGGAGATGGTGTTGACCTCCACCTGCAGCACACCCCCTGCAAGGCAATCCCCGGCAACACCACCAGCCCTGCTACGCAGTACCCCCTATCTATCCCAAGCTTCCTGAGTTTAGCTCCCTGCCCACCTGTGCAGGTCTGTGACCCGTGAAGTGAGGCCAGGGAAGGACGAGGAGATGGTGTTGAGTTCCACCTGCAGCACGCCCCCTGTCACTGTGTCCAGCATGTAGTCGGATCTGTGCATGCCCAACCGTAAAGGCTGTAGAGAGTGGTGGAGAGCGGTGAAGAGCAGTGGAGAGGCAGTGGAGAGGGGTGAGGGGGGATGGGGAGGAATGCCAGTTAATCCTGTGTTGATTGAGCTCCACCTGCAGCACGCCCCTGGTGACTGTGTCCAGCATGTAGTCAGATCTGTGCATGCCCAGCCAGCCTTATTGACTGAGGGGTGGAGGGTGGTGGAGAAGCAGTGGAGGGAGATGCAAATGGGTGGACAACGGTGGGGAGGGATGGGGAGCAATGACTGGTGATTATGTGTTGATCTCCACCTGCGGTACACCCCCTGTGACTGTGTCCAGCATGTAGACCGACCAGTGCATGCCCAACCGTAAAGGCTGTAGAGAGTGGTGGAGAGCGGTGAAGAGCAGTGGAGAGGCATTGGAGAGGGGTGGGGACGGATGGGGAGGAATGCCACTTAATCCTGTGTTGATTGAGCTCCACCTGCAGCACGCCCCCGGTGACTGTATCCAGCATGTAGTCAGATCTGTCCATGCCCAGCCATGGGGGCTGGGGTAATAATGGGTATAAGGCTGCTCACCTGCTGAATTCAATGCTTGAGTATGTCCACGGGTATTAGGAGAAGACCTACTGTGTGCTTACATGTGCAGCAATCCACCGGAAGCACTATATGGTCTCAGCTCACTTGCTTCCCTCACAGATTACCTGCTTAGTTCCCTTGCTTGCAGGCTGCTCACCTGCTGTATGCCCTCCTGTATTATCTCCGCGTGTATTTGGACTGGCTGTACTCTTCTGTATCCTGGTATTCGCCTTACAGGCTGCTCACCTGCTGTATGCCCTCCTGTATTATCTCCGTGTGCATTTGGACTGGCTGTACTCTTCTGTATCCTGGTATTCGCCTTACAGGCTGCTCACCTGCTGTATGCCCTCCTTTATTATCTCCGCGTGTATTCGGAGGAGACCGGCTGTGAAAGAGTCAGAGCGCCCTGCACTGAAACAGGGGGAGGGCATGGCATGGCATGGCATGACATGGCACGGCATGGCATGGCATGGCATGGCATGGCATGGCACGGCATGGCATGGCATGGCATGGCATGGCATGGCATGGCATGGCATGGCATGGCATGGCACGGCATGGCATGGCATGGCATGGCATGGCATGGCATGGCATGGCATGGCAGGACAGGTGAGACAAGGGGAGACGTGGGGCTGTGAAGGAGTCAGAGCGCCCTGCACTGAAACAGGGGGGGTGGGGCAGAGGCGGCATGGCATGGCATGGGATACGATGCATTGAATGATGCTGAATTTCTTCTGGTAAAAGGAAGACTGATTCACAGCTCTTTAAAAGAGACGGTAGAGAGATTTTTTGCAATAAGGCTGAAAGAAATCGGAGAGCAGATGATTGCGGTGCGTAACCATCTTACCAGTGTGGTTATTGTGCCAGCATGGAATGCAGCTACCCTCCCAGAAAGCTCACCTCACCTCACCTCACCTTGCCAGTGTGGATTGCAGGAAGTAAGAGTCCTGACTGGTGACATCACCCGGGGCGTTGAAGAGAGGGGCGAGCTCCAGCTCGATGGAAATGGTGCGCCAGGACCAGCGTCACCGGCATGGAATGAGGCTAGTGTGGTTACCAGGTCAGTGCGGTGGTTACCACACCACACCAACCTGGATCACTCACCTTGCGAGAGTGGATTGCAGGAAATCCGCGTCCTGGCTGACAGCATCTACAAGATCGTTGAAGAGAGGGGCGAGCTGAAGTGACTTGTGAACCCCTGCCACTGTGGTTAACCTGCCAGAGAGAACTCACCTTGCAAGCGTAGATTGCAGGGAATCCGCGTCCTGGCTGACAGCATCGACAAGATCGTTGGAGAGAGGGGCGAGCTCCGCTATCCGATGGAATTGGTGTGCTGGGAAGGGCGTGGGGTGGGGAGCGAATTCACTCGCTCAGGAAGCTGAGGTGTGTGGTCAACTCACCTTGCGAGAGTCGATTGCAGGAAATCCGCGTCCTGGCTGACTGCATCCACCAGGGCGTTGAAGAGAGGGGCGAGCTCCACGGCTCGATGGAAGTGGTGTGCTGGGAAGGGCGTGGGGAGCAGCGTCACTGGCGCGGGGACCAGGCCTGATCCAGGAACCGACCCCGAGTCCTGGAGGACAAAAGAAAGAGTTGCGGGAAGGAGGAAGCTGGTAGGGGTGGATGGAAATGGTGCGCTGGGAATGGCGTGGGGAGCAGCGTCACTGGCGCCGGAACCAGGCCTGATCCAGGAACGAAACCCGAGTCCTGGAGCAGAGCAGGGGGGGTGTTATGGGAAGGAGAAAATTCGTGCTGGTGGATAAAGGTGGCATGCTGGGAAGGGAAGGACGTGGGAGCAGCGTCACTGGCGCGGGAATCAAGACTGATCCAGGAACGGAGGACAGGCGGGAGGAGTTGCAGGGAAAAAGTTGGTGGGGGTGAATGGAAATAGTGTGCTGGGAAGGGCGCGGGGAGCAGCATCACTGGCGCGGGGACCAAACCTGATCCAGGAACGGAACCCGAGTCCTGTAGGCCATGAAAAAAAGTTGTCGGGAAGAAAAAGTTGGTGCGGGTGAATGGAGATGGTGTGGTTGGAGCGGCGTGGGAGTAGCGTCACTAGCGCGGACCAGGCTCGATCCAGGAACCGACCCCGAGTCGTGTAAAAGCGGGAAGGAAGGCGTAGAATGGGAGGGTATGGGGTGAGTGAGGAATATGGGAGGGGTATGACACTAAGAATACAAGACTGGGAATGCGTGGACAAAGGCATTCACGGTATCCAAGCTCGCTCAACACATGAGTGCCCCATCACCTATCCATATGCATGCAGCCAAGCGAGCTCTTCGGTATCTCAAAGGTACTTCTAATCATGGTCTTCTCTTCCAAGCCAGCCCCCAATGCCTAAGTACCAGTTGCCCTCATGTTGGGGAAATACAAAATGGAGCGTCCGATCTTCCCTCCAGCCGACCTAGACCGTCTGATCTTCCCTCAGCCATCGGATCTCCGCTTTGGGCTACCTCGGCCCCTCCGATCTTCCTTTGAGCCTACCTCGACCTGATCGCCGACGACCAGTCCGTTGAGCGAGGACTGGACTAGAGACTCCTCCACCATGCCTCGCAACTCCGCGTCCAAAATGCTCTTCTCGAACGTCCGATCTTCCTTTGAACCTACCTCGACCGTCTGATCGCCGACGACCAGTCCGTTGAGCGACGTCCAAACTAGCGACTCGTCCACCATGCCTCGCAACTCCGCGTCTGAAATGCTCCTCTCGAAATCGCTGACTCAACACTACCTCGCACATCGTTATCGCCACCCTCTGAATTTTTTAGAACCGTCCAGCTTCGGCACGACCGTCCGATCTTCCCTTGAGCCTACCTCGACCGTCTGATCGCCGACGACCAGTCCGTTGAGCGAGGACCAAACTAGCGATTCGTCCACCATCCCTCGCAACTCCGCGTCCGAAATGCTCCTCTCGAAATCGCTGATCGCGTCTGGCTGACCCATCTGCGACTCGTGAAACGAGCAAACAACCGGACTTCTCCGACCTGTCCTCGTTTTAAGCTGCTTCTGGAGTGTCGTTACCGAACGACGCGACTGAAATTGCGAATGCAACGGGCGAGAAAGACGAAGAGAGGCGAGCAACCCGTGGTTTCTGGTTACACGGCCGGACGGTGACGCTGCTGTCTGTATGGTGGACAAACAGCCGTTGTACGGGAGCGTTGCACTAGCTGCTGCAGCAGCCATAGCTGCCAATAGATAAGTATGATTCAGAAAACCAGATGAGCCAGATAGCCGTTGTGAAACATCCCGCCTCGATATTGACGTGATGAGGAATTCTGATCAGAATTGTGGTGTCTGGCGTGTCCCGCACGATCGTTTTTTGTGCCACTGATCACGGTTTTCTTCGGTGCTTCTCGTTCCAAAGCGGTACAGCGTGAGTAAACCATAAGCGTGAAACATCCCTACCCCGATATAGACTTCTGTTGATTTCTAAGATGAAACTAATACAGCTATAGAAGGCACTGCAGAGCTCGGTCATTATAGCAAGTGCATTATATAATGGCCTTCATCCTTCATGGCCTCTTAGCATGCAACGCACCCAATAGAACATAAGAGCTTACAGTTTCATAGACTCAATATGAACTGCTGCTCTATTCTCTTGGCTGACTGGCTAGTGCCAGCAGAAAGACACTCATGGAGGCGTAAAATGCAACTGTTTGGAGACCGGAGCTGGTTGGAGTGAGTTGCACTGCTTCCCACGCTGTGCTTAAAGGAGCTGTTACAAACGCGGATGCTGATGACACAGTGTTGAAAATGGTTCCGTTTGTTGGGAGGGAGAGCTGGAATGGAGAGAAGAAAAGTAGGGGACGAAGGGAGTGGGGAAGGAGAGAGAGGCAGATAGGCAGCCGGGATTGGAATTCGCAATGGATAAAAATGTGATTTAGTTCGCAATGCACAGATCTTTATGGTAACGCCTTGCGCATGTGGCAGCATAACGGAGACATGACAGTGTATCAGCAGGACGGAGGTGTATCGCCACCCCTGCCGTATCCGCCTGCAGTGCTTCCCCACCAGACACCCACTCTCCCACGCACTCACCGACCAAACGCCCTCCAGTGATGGAGTCCCCTCTCCCAGCAGTCTTTCAAATGCCTCCATCCCTGCGCCCGCAGCATTGCCGATCTTCCTCGCCACCCCTGTTGTGTCCACCTGCAGTGCTCTTCACCCGTTGACACCTCCCCGTGTCTTACCCCCACCCACCTGCTGTGTCCGCCTGAATTGTTCCCCCCCGGATTCCAGCACCACCGGCCATCCAATCTCTCATTCACTCACCGACCACACGCCATCCAGTGCAGGAGCCCCTTCCTGAAATAGTTTTTCAACCGCCTCCATCCCTGCGCCGGCAGCGTCGCCAATCATCCTCGCCACCCCTGATGTGTCCGCCTGCAATGCTTCCCCGCCGGACTCCAGAAGCTTCTGCGTCGCTTCCGCACCCGACCCAAGCAGCCTGCCCACCTGCATGCATGCACGGTTCACGAGGAGAAAAGAAAGAAAGAAAGAAAGAAAGAAAAACATTAACTTCGCCACACCTCTCCCAAGTCCGTCTGTAGTGCTTCTCCACCAAAATCCAGAAAGCTTCTCCGCTCCGCCTGCTGTGCATTGCTGCCAGCCGCAGAAGCTTCACATGCATCAAACGAGTGGGAGTTACTTTTCCGCTACTCACGTTCACGTTAGTCACTTTCTCGTTAGTGTCAGTACTAATAAACTTCGCCGGAGGAAAAGAACTGCGCATAATCCCCCTCTCCCTTGCCTTCCCCTCGCCAACCTGCTCCGACATGCTCTCTTTTACCTCCTCCGCCCGCCAAACACGGTAACCCCATAGTAACCCTGACTTGATATTACCCACCTGCTCCGACCACACGCCCTCTTCCACCATCTCCGCCCGTCAAACACGGTAACCCCATGGTAACCCTGACTTCCTATTACCCACCTGCTCCGACACACTCTCTTCCGCTGACACAGCGCGTCGAAAAATGCCACAGGCCAAGAGTGGTAACTCTAAGGTAACCCTATGGTCCAACCCACCTGCTCCGACACGCTCTCTTCTGCTGACACAGCCTTTTCAAAAATGCCAACAGCGGCGCGTTCGAGATCTCCCGTCGCAGAGACTATATCCCCCACCGCAGAACCAAACTGCGCGGTATCCCCCCCCACGCCGTCCCCCCCCGCGGATCCCGCGCCGCCAGCGCCAGCAATATCGCGGTACGCGGAAGCCGCCGCGCGTTTCAGATCCTCCGCGGCGGAAACTAGACTCCCCACAGCGGATCGCGCTTTATCAACTCCGGCTGCCGACGAGGCGGCGCGTTCAAGATCCTCCGCGGCAGTTATTAAGCTCCCGACGGCGGATCGCACTTTGTCGGTAGCGGGTGATTCCTCCGCAAGCGCCGCCGCCGCGGACGCTGGCAATGCGGCGAGGAGTGAGACAGCGGGAATCGCGGCGACGGAAGCGGCGCGAGGAGCGGGAGTGCGTGGGCGCTGTGAGAGTGACACTGTGGGCTTGCGTGAACGCGACTCCGCGTGCTCGGGAACGAGCGGCGATAGGCGAACTAAGGACGAAGCGCGAGTGCAACCTACATGTGCCATGGTGGCTCCTAAAAAGCGAACGACGCGCCTCCCTGCTTGAACACTGTGGCTCGAATAGAAGTGTATTGAAGTTTCCGAACTAAAATAGAGTATGGAGTCACAGTTAACGAGTTATTAGCGCAATATTTAGCTTGCGTCGGCAATGCAGCTTTCCGACTGCAAGACTGCGCCGGCGCCGTTTGCGGAGACCACAAGACTGATGGTGAGTCTGCCTGCAGAACCGGAAAGAAGCTCGTAGAATGTCAAGCCAAACAAACTATACCGGACCAGACTAGCGTGATGTATGAGTTAGAGTCTGCTGGAGCATGAAAGAATCTGTGTGTGCTACGTGTGCTGTGCAATTGTGAGAGACGGCTGGCTTGGTTTTGAAATGGACGAACGGCAAGCCGCGATTTGCGGCGTCGTGGAGGAACGTGAGCCACTGGACGTATCCGCGATAAGGGAGACCAGTTGATAATGTAAATACGTGGTTATGAAACCTATGACTTTTATAGAAATCTTGAAAAGGGTCAATGACTTTGAAGAGGTTGTATATATTTTACATAGGTAACGGGATAGGCATGCATCCCAATCGTATGGATTATGCTCGTCGTTCTTACTGAGAAATATTATGTCTTTTTTGTACGTGCACTCCTCAGTATTGTAACGAGTACAGGACTCATCATTCTGGCGGGTCCTCTAGCCCGCAGGACTCCGTCTGTATTCCACCAGATGCGTATGCCCTGTAACTATCGCAGTTCGCCGCCATGGGCGCGCTTGTCTCACCCCCGCAGCCGCGCGCGCTGCTTCCGCTTGTTGGCTTGCGCCACTCGAGCACCCCCGTGCGCCATTTCCGCTCCCCCAGAACCCCCCTGAGATTGCTTGACACCCACAGGATTCGAAAAAGTTCGCTCTACTCTGAAACCGCAGCTGCTCGGGGAGAAGAGGGGACCATTCTTCCCCTATTCCCTGCAAGTTTCCAGATCCGCGCGGAAAGGCGCGCAGAGGGCGGAAGGTCTGGCGGGAGGGGAGGGCGCGCAGCGTCTGGGGAGGGGGGAACTCGGGGCGGAAGGGTTGGAGGGCGGGGCAGGGGAAACGCGGATAGCGGAAGGGGCAGAGGGCGGGGCGGGGGGAATGCGATCGGAGCGGAATCTGATCCGCGGGAGAGCGGAAACAGGCGGGATTCGGTTGGTAGGGGAGGCGGCGGAACAGCGAATCTGCCACGTCAGCAGCCCGGGCGAGGACGTGGACAGGGACCACGTGGCAGCAGGCGTGACGTGGAGGGCACAGGTCTTGCAGTAACAGACGGGGATATGGGGAGCGCGCGGGAGAGGGGGGAGAGCAGCGAAACACTCGGGCGGGTTGCAGGGGGAAGGGGAAGGGGAGAGGGAAGGGGAGGGGGAGGAGCAGGGGAAAGGAGCAGGGGAGGTGGAGGGGCCATGGGTCGAGGTGGCTCGGATCAGGGTTTAGGAGATTTCGGAGGAGGTTCAAGAGGAGGTTTAAGCGGAAGTTCAAGAGGAGGTTTAAGCGGAAGTTCAAGAGGAGGTTTAAGCGGAAGTTCAAGAGGAGGTTTAAGCGGAAGTTCAAGAGGAGGTTTCAGCGAAAGTTCAAGAGGATGTTTCAGCGGAAGTTCAAGAGGAGGTTTAAGCGGAGGTTCAAGAGGCGGTTTAAGCGGAGGTTTAGAAAGGGGTTTAAGCGGGGCTTTACGGGATGGGCCAAGGCCGGGTGTGAGAGGGGGGCGGGGCGGAGGAGGAGGGGAGGACGCAGATTTGCTGAGCGCGTATGAGGGGGATGAGTCGAAGAAAGTGTGGAAGGCAGAAAGACAGATGCAGAGACAGGCAGGTGAGCAGTGTGGTGGTTGGGAAAAGAGAGGCGGAAACGGGAATAGAGGGGGACGGATGGGAGTTGCTGAGTGCATATGAGGGGGACGAATTGAAGAAAGAGGGTAAGGCAGAGAGGCGGATGCAGAGACAGGCAGGTGAGCAGTGTGGTGGTTGGGAAAAGAGAGGCGGAAACGGGAATAGAGGGGGACGGATGGGAGTTGCTGAGTGCGTATGAGGGGGACGAATTGAAGAAAGAGGGTAAGGCAGAGAGGCGGATGCAGAGACAGGCAGGTTAGTGGGGGTTTGGAGGAGGAAAGAGGAAATTGCTAGTACTGCAAAGCCGTTCATTTCTTTATTATTATTATTATTATTACTACTACTACTATTATTATTCCAATCTTCGACTTCTTTTATTATTGCTCCCCTTCTCCTCTCCAACAGAGGCTGATGCAAGAGCAGCAGCAGAGGAGGCAGCAGCAGCAAGAGCGAGGAGGAGAGAGGGGATTGTTGGGAGAAGCAATGAGTGGTGGGAAGACGAGGAGGAGGCAGAGGAGGAAGAAGAAGAAGAAGAGGAGGAGGAAGAGGATGAAGGAGAAAGAAGGAAAGGGAGAATGGAGAGGAGGGAGAGGGGGAGGAATGAGAGGGGGAGTGAGAGGGGGAGGGTAGAATGGAGCAGGGAGGGAGTGAGGCAGAAGTACTTATATGGTCCGTATGGCCCGTATGGAGGGAGGGCGCCGATGGTGGGGAAGCATAAGAAAGCCAAGATCACGGACGAATGGGTGATTTCGGAGTTCAGTTCGGTTCAGTCTGATGAAGGTGGGTGCAGAGCGGTGACAGCGGGTTGCAGAGGGTGACGGTGGGTGTAGGTCGGTGAAATTTCGTGCAGCGCAGTGGTGACAGTGGTAGTAAGGGAGGGAGTGAGGCAGAAGTACCTGTATGCTCCATATGGCCCGTATGGGGGGAGGGCGCCGATGGTGGGGAAGCACAAGAAAGCCAAGATCACGGACGAGTGGGTGATCTAAAAGTTCAGCTCCGTGCAGAGCGATGAAGGTGGGTGCAGAGCGGTGACAATGGGTTGCAGAGCGGTGACAATGGGTTGCAGAGCGGTGAAGGTGGATGCAGAGCGGTAACAATGGGTGTGAGTGTGTATCTGTACAGTCCCTATGGCCCGTATGGGGGGAGGGCGCCGATGGTGGGGAAGCACAAGAAGGCAAAGATAACGGACGAGTGGGTGATCTCGGAGTTCAGCTCGGTTCAGACTGATTAAGGTGGGTGCAAAGCGGTGACTGGGTGGAGAGCGATCAATGTGTGCACAGGGCCATGAACAATGCGTGCACAGGCACAGGGTAGTAGAAGGTATCAGTGTGTATCTTCATGGTTCATATCCTTCTCGCTACCTCGCTTTTCATTTTCATCAAACCATCTTTCCGTCAAACATTTTTTCTCTCTCTTTCCTCCACTCAAAACCCACGCCCCTCCCCTGTTCCTCTGAACAGAGCAGGAGAGAGCAGCGCAGAACCACATGAGCGCTCGTTACTCAACTCCCTCCTCTCCACTCCATCCCCCCACAGCTACGGTATATATCCTGAATGCACCCCCCCTGTCCGTCCATATCCCATGCCCCCCAAAACAGAGCAGGAGAGCGCAGAGCAGAACCACATGTGCGCTCGCTACGAGAAAGCTCTCGATTCCTTCCTCTCCTGCTCCTCGCCCCCTCCCCATCTCTCCTCATCAACAGAGCAGGAGAGCGCAGAGCAGAACCACATGTGCGCTCGCTACGAGAAGGCTCTCGACTCCTTCGTCTCCACACCAACCACACCGGCATTGGAGCCAGCAGCGGCTGTGGAGCCGGACCTGCTGTTTGTGTTTGCACGCAAGAAGCAGACGCCTCTCGATTCAGATGCAACAGCTCGCCCAAAATCCCGAGTGAGTGCAGGTGCTCTTACTAACAGAGGCTGGCTTTGGAGCCGGACTTGTTGTTTGTGTTTGCACGCAAGAAGCAGACGCCTCTCAATTCAGATGCAACAGCTCGCCCAAAATCCCGAGTGAGTGCAGGTGCTCTTACTAACAGAGGCTGGCTTTGGAGCCGGACTTGTTGTTTGTGTTTGCACGCAAGAAGCAGACGCCTCTCGATTCAGATGTGACAGAGGAGGCCAGATCTCGACCCAAATCCCGAGTGAGTGCTGCTGTTGTTGCTCTTGAAACTAGGGGGGGGGGGCTTGGGGAACCAGGGGAACCAGGGGAACCAGGGGAACCAGGGGAACCAGGGGAACCAGGGGAACCAGGGGAACCAGGGGAACCAGGGGAACCAGGGGAACCAGGGGCGGCTGTTGAGCCGGACTTGTTTTGTGTTTGTTTGCACGCAAGAAGCAGACCCCACTCGATTCAGATGCAACAGGAGAGCCCAAATCTCGACCCAAATCCCGGGTGAGTGTTTCTAGTTGTTGTGAGGGCCCTCAAAAGTTGTAGCTTTCGCTTCTATTTTCCCCCCCCCATTCCGTTTATTTCTTTCCTTCACCCCCCAGCTTGTTTTTTTGTTCTTTCTTCCAAAATGTCACCTATCGTTGCCCAACAACTCGTCCTTCATGAAAGCGTATTGACGCACCTGCCCCAACCCAAACCTCTGGTCCCTCTGTTCCTTCTGTTCCTCCCTCCACTTGTCCCTCCTCCTTCCCCCCTCCCCCACCAGCCCCCATGGCTGCAGTGGACGCTCGTCGCTCAACTCGCCCTGCGCCTCTCACCCTCACCACTGCCGTCTCTGCTCATTATAATCCTCAGTCCTCATCCTTTCGTATCCTGCTACCGCCCGCCCACCCCTCCCCCTTTCCCTTCCCTCGCCTCCCTTCCTGTCTGCCCTCCAGCCTCCGTGGCTGCAGTGGCCGCTCGTCGCCCAACTCGCCCTCCCTCCTCTCACCCTCACCACTGCCCTTGACGAATTTCACAATGCTCAATTCTGAACCACTCTCCCCCTGCCACCCCCCTTCCCCTCCCCTGCCCCACCAGCCCCCGTGGCTGCTGTGGATGCTCGTCGCTCAACTCGCCCTGCCGCCTCTCACCCTCACCACAGCCCTTGACGAATTTCACAATGCTCAATCCTGAACCACTCTTCCCCTGCCACCCCCCTTCCCCTCCCCTCCCCCACCAGCCCCCGTGGCTGCAGTGGACGCTTGTAGCCCAGCTCGCCCTGCCGCCACACCTTCCTCACACTTCGACTTACTCTGCCCTCCCTCTCTGCCCCTCTCGTCTCCCTTTCTTCGCCTCTCCCCCACCAGTGAGTGTTTTTTGAGAATTCTCAAAAAACGCCCAGCTCGCCCTGCCGCCACACCTTCCTCACACTTCGACTTACTCTGCCCTCCCTCTCTGCCCCTCTCGTCTCCCTTTCTTCGCCTCTCCCCCACCAGTGAGTGTTTTTTGAGAATTCTCAAAAAACGCCCAGCTCGCCCTGCCGCCACACCTTCCTCACACTTCGACTTACTCTGCCCTCCCTCTCTGCCCCTCTCGTCTCCCTTTCTTCGCCTCTCCCCCACCAGTGAGTGTTTTTTGAGAATTCTCAAAAAACGCCCAGCTCGCCCTGCCGCCACACCTTCCTCACACTTCGACTTACTCTGCCCTCCCTCTCTGCCCCTCTCGTCTCCCTTTCTTCGCCTCTCCCCCACCAGTGAGTGTTTTTTGAGAATTCTCAAAAAACGCCCAGCTCGCCCTGCCGCCACACCTTCCTCACACTTCGACTTACTCTGCCCTCCCTCTCTGCCCCTCTCGTCTCCCTTTCTTCGCCTCTCCCCCACCAGCCCCCTTGGCTGCAGTGGACGCTCGTCGCTCAACTCGCCCTCCCCCCTCTCACCCTCACCACTGCCCTTCACGAAATCCGAGCCGCTGCTACAGACACAGCTACTGATTCTGCGGACAACCCTGCTGCTATACACGATGCTGGGAGCACAGCTGGCGCTGCTGGTGAGGTCAACACGGGTCGAGCCGCAACTGGAGCAGCTATTGCCACCGGCTCCGCTTCATCTGATTCACCTGCTGCTGCTGCTGCTGCTGCTGTTGCTTCAGACTCAGCAGGAGTCTGGTTTTCAAGCCAGAAAATGGATGAGCACGTGCAGAGGTGGCTGATGGGACGGATACCCAAGAGAGCGTGGAGTGACGTGGCTCAGTGCGTTGCCTGGTATCGACCAGACTTGATATTCACAAGGCACCCTTCTTTTGAGGTATGTACCGTGTGGTTGCACATGATATCAGTGGTTCAAAGCTGTTGAGAGCGGTGCAGGAGTGTGTGTGGATAGAGCAGGATGCAGAGGTGGGTGGCTGATGGGACGGATACCCAAGAGGGCATGGAGTGACGTGGCTCAGTGCGTTGCCTGGTACCGACGAGACCTGGTGTTTGCCAGGCATCCTTCTTTTGAGGTATGTACCGTGTGGTTGCACATGGTATCAGTGGTTCAAAGCTGCTGATGGGATGGATACCCAACAGGGCGTGGAGTGACATGGCTCAGTGCGTGGCCTGGTACCGACCAGACCTCGTCTTTACTAGACATCCTGCTTTTGAGGTATGTATTGTGCTTTCAGAGCGGTTCAGGGCGGTTTGAAACAGTGCAGGAGTGTGTGTGGAGAGAGCAGGGTGGAGAGGTGGCTGATGGGACGGCTACCCAAGAGGGCGTGGAGTGATGTGGCTCAGTGCGTGGCCTGGTACCGTACCGACCAGACTTGGTGTTTGCCAGGCATCCTACTTTTGAGGTGTGTACCGTGTGGTTGCACATGGTATCATTGGTTCAAAGCTGCTGATGGGACGGATGCCCAAGAGGGCGTGGAGTGACGTGGCTCAGTGCGTCGCCTGGTATCGGCCAGACTTGGTTTTTACCCGCCACCCTTCTTTTGAGGTATGTCTTGGTGGTGTGACGGGTGTTTGAAGAGGTTCAGAGTGGTGTAGAGAGAGCAGGGCGCAGATGTGGCTGATGGGACGGCTACCCAAGAGGGCGTGGAGTGACATGGCTCAGTGCGTGGCCTGGTACCGACCAGACTTGGTTTTCACCAGGCACCCTTCTTTTGAGGTATGTACTGATTTATAGGTCAGTTTAGAGTGGTGCAGATAGGGCATGAAGTGACGTGGCTCAGTGCGTTGCCTGGCACCAACCAGACCTCGTCTTTACTAGGCACCCTGCCTTTGAGGTATGTAGTGAGTGGTTGCGGAGGCTTTGAGAGTGGTTCAAAGCGGTTCAGTGAGGTTCCAAGCAGTGTAGAGGTGCTGACCAAGAGGGCGTGGAGTGATGTGGCTCAGTGTGTGGCCTGGTACTGACCAGACTTGGTGTTTACCTGGCATCCTGCTTTTGAGGTGTGCACTGTGTGGGTTTAGGGCGGTGAAGAGGGGTGCTGAGCGAGAGTGTGGAGTGACGTGGCTCAGTGCGTTGTCTGGTACCGACCAGACTTGGTGTTTACCCGGCACCCTGCCTTTAACGCATGTTCATATGGTATTAAACCGAGCGGTTTAGAGCGATTCAGAGAGCGGTAGGCTGACAGGTTTCTTACTATGCTTCCACCATGTTTCAAGCGTCTGCTGTTCTCCACTCACCTATTCAACCACAGAAGCCATTTTTTCAGCGCCTCTTCCCTCAGCTCTTCTCTTCTCTTGAGTATCTCTGGTGTTTCATGCCTCCCCTGCTCTGCTCTGCTCTGCTCTGCTGCAGGTCTGCTCTGAACCACAGAAGCCTTTCTTTCAGCACCTTTTCCTGAGCTCTTCCCTCATCTTGAGTATCTTATCCCTGGTGATTCATGCCTCCCCTGCTCTGCTCTATTCTGTTGCAGGTCCGCTTCGAACCACAGAAGCCTTTTTTCCAGCGCCTTTTTCCTGAGCTCTTCCCTTCGGCTCTGTCACAATCACAATCACAATCATTACAGTCACTATCACAATCACAGTCGAACGTGCTTGTGAGCGGCCTGAAGCAGGCCCTTGGCTTGCCAGCTGCCGCCACGCGTGCTGCTGTGCTGGCAGCGTACGAGGCCGCCACGTGGCGGCAGCAGGCCTCCATCCTGTGCCACGTGGCACGCCTCCAGCTCAGCGCTGACTGGGACTTGCTGGGCCTGTCTGATGCTTCAGCAGGAGGATACATTGTGACAGGCGATGGTGACAATAGGAGTGGTGACAATAGCGATGGTGATAGTAATGAAGATGAATGGGGAGAACAGGATCAGACGGAGGAGGATGAAGAGGATGAGGGAGAGAGTGGAGAGGAGGGAGAGGGGGGGGATTCAGAAGCGGAGGAGGGGGAGGAGGAAGATGAGGATTTGGTGTGGTCAGAAGCAGAGGAGCAGAGAGCATTAGCTCGAGATGCAGAGATGCTGAAGCAGCAGGGGGGACAAGGAATTACTAGTCAGAGACTGTTGGGTGAAGGTTTAACTGGTGGAGGTGACATTGACGTTCTTGCTGGTGGTGGTGGTGCTGCTACAGCCGGAGCTGCTGGCGAGAGAAATACTGATGGCTCAATTAGTGATGGTGGTGACGAGTTGTCTGTAATGGAGCGGACTCTAGTGAGGAAAAAGGAGGAGGCAGCTGGGGAGGTGAAGGCAGCAGTGGGACCGTTTGATTCGGTCAGGCTGATTGGGGAGCTGACACTGCTGCACGCTATTGAGAGTGGAGAGGAGACATTCTGAGAATCCAATACACTCCTGCTGTAACATGTTGTAATCGTGTTATGTCGTATTGTACCTCTTGGTATTATTATGTTGCTATCTCTACAGTATAGAAGGCAAACTCTTTACAAACCAGGCTGGAGTGGACCTGGTACAGGGCCTATTTTTGGATTTTAGGTACTCTGATTTCCAGTCTAGTTTTTTTTCCCAACTCTGAAATCTAGGGTTGTTCCTGCGCCTTACTCTGATTTGTCAGAGTACCGTATGGCCCCGGATATAAGCGCAGGCCTATTATAAGCGCATGCGCTTGTATCTGGAGCAATGCGCTTATGGCCGATCCTCATTTATAAGCGCACCCCCTGTAAAACCTTGATTTATTATAAGCGCACGTATAATTCTAAAATTTTAACCAGATTAAAACGGTAGCGATTTCAAATTTTGCAGTGAGGATACAACTATTTTCGCTTCGATTGACTTTCGAGGACCTCACATACTGCGCGTCCAGTCAGTATGAGCTGGCATTTCTGATAGTGACGTGTAAATTTTCCTCTGTGCGCCGGCAGAAAATCGCTCACGCGCAGGCCTGTTGTTTCGTTTTGGCCCCCCCGGACAAAACAGGGGGCCCGGCATGTATGACCCTGTATTTAGCAGGGTTGGGGCGAATCTCGGCCCTTCAGGCTTCAGGGCTGGAAAATTTTCCTCCCTTGAATCAGGTTTGGCGCGAAAAAATCGGGAGCCTCATTTCAAATACCAAGCTTACAACTACGTTTGAGAACAACGACAAGCAAGCAAACACGACAAGAAGAGAAATAGTTAGCGTCATATCACTACGCACGCTTTGCAGGCTTCCTAGCCTTTGCAGAACCGATGATCGTCTGCACATCTACTACCCAACCTTCAGGGTAGTTCTTGTGCACTTCTACCCAACCTTAACCGTCACCCACTCCACAGAGAGCGAGCTGTGATTGGTTTAAGCACAAGTTCTAGTCTGAGTTGAATTTGTGGCCCAACCAAGCAACTCGAAATTGCCTTGTTGGATGCAATCAGGTTAGAAACGAAGGGGAAAGGAGAGGAGTGTTGGGGGGGGGAGGGGAGTGGAACGGGGGACTCGAGAGATTCTGTTCCAGGGCTCGCCTAAAATCTGCCCTTTTAACACCAAGCCTGAGCCCGAAATCAGCCCTGTAAAGAATCAGGGCCAGAATATTTCCAACCCATCAATTTCAGTTTTCAAGGGCAACCCAGCCCTGGAATTCAAGGTCCAGCAGGGCAAACGCCCTGCAAGCGACAGCCCTGCTCACGCGCGAATCTGAATTACGACTCGCTACCACTTCGGTTCGATTGAAATCACAAGAAGGAGATGTACAGTTTGGTGCCAATGAATTATAAATTTGCATTTATTATTATATAAGCGCATGCGCTTATAAATCTGACTCAATTATAAGCGCACCCCCCCAAAAAACACTGTTTTATTATAAGCGCAGGTGCGCTTATATCCGGGGTATTACGGTAACCCTTTACTTACAAAAAAAAAAAAAAAAAAAAACCAGGCACGTCAGAGTAATATTTTTCTCTACTCTGATGTTAGTTAAGTTTGGTGTACCATGACCTTAATAGGTTTTTGTTACGCCTTTTGTACTTGCATTATGTTTCATTTCCGCGTCGCCCACGTTTCCCCCCTCACTGCAATGTTTCAGAGTGAGGTGTTGGCGGCACCGATAATCTGACTAAGAGCGTGTCTGAAGTGAAATTTAGACGGATGTACAGTTCCGTCGGGGAATGCTGGCAAATCTCAACCCTCGGTCTGAGCGTTCCGACCGTCAGGATTCCTCGACGTCCCTCAAAGTTTCGTCGGGAAACGTCGACGTTCACTTCAGACATAAAGAGAGAGGGGACTGGCTGGCATGGTGCGCTGGTTGGGAAAGTTGTCAAACTACGGTAGCCAATCAGCGCTCATATTGCCGCCAACACACGACACAAATCAGGAGAATGATCTCGACGATTCGGGGAAAACCCGCTAAACGCAGGGGGGGGTGGGGAGGGGAGGGGGGCGGGGGAGGGGGGCCGGCAGGTTTTCCTATACAGAGTAAATTCGGTCCCCGAAAAAAAAAAAACCCAGAGGCCTCAGAGTAAACTACAACATAACTCTGACAAATCAGAGAAATCGGAAGTCCCAAAAAAATTACCCAGCGGGTACAGAGTTACTTTCAAAAATGACTCTGATTTTCAGAGAAACAGAGTAATTTACTCTGAAAACGTGAGGCCTGGTACCTGAAGATTTTGTTTGCTTTGAGATTTTGCAATCAAACACAGGTCTTGGGTTTTACCGTACGCCATGATCTCTGTACTGCAACCTGAGCTGAATGGAGGTCCTTTCCTTTGCCTCTGCTGGTAACAGAGGAAAATCTCTCAGGAGAATGGACGTAGCCAAATCTACCGGTAACGGAAACAAAAAGCTGAAGCCAACTGAGCAGGGTGTTCCAGTTATTATTACAGACCAAAGCATCACTGGGAACCATAAAAGGTCAACTAGTCCCACTCCCCAGGCCTTCACATTGAAATGTGAGGGGTGTCAAGAATAATATATATTTCTATATATTGTTTTGTAACTGCCTGTAGTGTAGACTAGTGTAGTTATATAATGTTCTGTTTTGGTGGTGCACCTTTCATCTTGCCTATATGTACTGCTCGCTCTATAGTGAAAACCCTTCTTCTCTTTTCAATTCTCTCGACTCTACTCAACTTACTCGAACTCAACTAGCTATGGCTCCTTTAGCCTAGCTAAGCTTATGACAAGGGGACCAGCAGCACATGCAAAATGAGCGAAAAGTGCTGCCCAACAACACTGACCTGCCAAAGCCGCATTAGACATACTGCAACTGGACAGCCGGGCAGTGTCACGCATGCTCTACAGATAAATAAGTCTCAGCAGCGGGGTTGCCCTGAGAAAAAAATCTTCAACTGAGAGAAAGTCTTCTGTCATCTGTGATTGAACCCTTCTTCTGCAGTGACAGACATCCAATGGTAGCCATCTCACACATCTCCAGGAATTCGTCATCCCACATCATGAGCGCCTGTAGCACCACGACGCTTACAATCACAGCAATTTTTACTGCTTCGGGATCCGTTCTGGTCAAGAGCAGGTTTAGCATCCCTTATGAAGTTTTTGTATTCCTTCATTTTCGCAGCGTGGAATGCATTGAGTTTTTCGATCGTGTCAATTAACAGCCTCGCACCCTGCATTTTTTTGTCCTCGCGCAGTTGCCGAGTCCGCATGTTGGGTTGAGTCCTTGAACGACTTTCTGTTGGATGAACGAACAATGTCACGCATTTGTACAAATCAAAATGCTCGTCTGACTCTTGCAGCTATTCAGCGGACCTTGAGAATATCAAATAAACTTCACGCATACAACATACATGGGATATATGCATGGGAAAGTACCTTGAGATGACAGCAAGTCCGTTCGGGGTGGACTAGCCACTGAATCATCTCCAGCGGCCCGTAAGTCTCTTCGCTGACGCTTGGCATCACGTGAGGGAGCTCGACTGTCTATTTCAGCCGTTAATACACTTTTACAGACATCATCACGGTCATGGGCCATCGTTGAGGACTTAAAACGACCTCTAGTACAAGAGTTAAGGGATACTAACGGTTCATTGGAGTAATTGCTAAACGAATTGTTAGGAACGAAGTAAGCAAATGTGAATGAAGTAGCTTGTGGGTGACGCCTGCTATAATGGTCTGGTTTTTTTGTGAAGTCTTGCGGTTTGAGTTTTGAGAGCGCCTTTGCACGGTGCTGTAGGTTGCGGTGGAATAGAATACGGTTCAGTTGAAGCCTATTAGATGAATTGCAGGCTGGCTGGGAGGGTAATTGGTGGCACGGATAACGGTAAGCTCGGCCTTACCAAGGCGGTCGGTTTGGTTCAGCACTTGGGCTTTGGTCCGGCATGAAGCGAGAACAACATTCCCGCGTTTTCACACTCGGTAAGATAGAGGAGGGAGCTGTTTCGCGAACAAAAGTATTCACGAACACCTCTGGTTCACAACTACCGTATGATGGTATAAAATACATTGCTTTTGAATAATCTGTGCTTGGTGGTGATTCAGAGATGTAATAATTCAGAGATGGAGTGGTTCTGGTGCCATTGTCTGTACCTGTAGGCCTAGTGACTCAGGCCTTCTGCATTGACCTGCAATCCAGCAGTTGGCGTGAGATTCATTGCTATGTGTTACGACACGAAGTTTTATGAGAAGGCTTTCCTGTATGCTGCAGGAGCCGACTCTACCGAGTACGAAGTCGAGGAGTCAGAAGAGTCGAAGCGTCGCGGCAACCGCCTGACCAAGACCGATGCAGGCAGAAACATTTGAAGTGGAAAGAGCGGGAACAGGTTCAAAAACAAGTTCCCGCGCCGCACGGTTTGAAATTGATATAATAAGGGAATGTACCCCTTAGAGTACATGACTAGCCTACGTCTTTTTGTATTCCCCTGTATTATTATATAAACCCAATGTATGCATGCTATTATCAACTCAGTCATTTACATTCACTCTGACCTGAGATTCAAACTTCCGCTGCAAACACTACTCTGCGATCAACCTTGAGCGATCCTTCGCTAAGTCCCCTTTGGGATTGTAACATGGTATGAGAGCTACTCAGGGATTCTTCGCAACTTCACTTCCGTGAAATTCGCCGAATCAAGATCTGGCGAGCGGCACACGCTCAAAGACCAAGATGGCCGGAGGATCCGGAGGCCAAGCAAATTTGACGGCTGAAGGACAATCCAATCCGGCTGCGACAAATGAGGCGATAACCACGATCGGCACTGCCGCTCTCGAGCAACTTTTCGCTCGACTTTCAACTATGGAGAAAGAACTCCAAGATCTGCGCAAAGGCGATGCGGGAACCTCTTCCCAACCAGTACAACCTGGACAACCGGCTGAGAAAAGCCGTGATACCGCCGCGCATACCTTCTCCCTCGACACAGACGAATCAACAACAACTGCCCCCCGTCCAAGTGATGAA